ACCTTCTTCATGAAATAATTTTTTCTTCAGTTGACAAGCCAAAGCTCCTTAGTCAGGTAAAGACTTAGGAGTATCGGTCCTTTTGCTATGGATTTTATGTTTGGACTTCCATATCTTCCATTGTCATACTACTTGTATCAACTTTTATAAAATTCCGAGTTATTGTCTTGTAGCTATCTACGTTGCTGTGCGATCTTGGATTGCACATTCGTGAAGCTCATGTGTTCTCAACAACAGATGGACTGTGTTTGGGCATATTTGTTGTTGATGGCTGGGAAACAGAGGTAAGCTTAGAGCACATCTATACCTGTGCAACATGTTAACGATAATTCAAAAGTAGACGTATTTGTGCAGTTCCGATTACTTATGATAGCATTATTATGGTTAATTGCATCAGCTTTACATAATGGGAGTACCTAGAACTCATCTAGATGAGACATAATTTGGTCTCATTCACCTGGAAAATAAGAACAGATACAACCTACGTCAGCACACACGCATCTTATAGCATCACATCCAACGGCTATAAAATGTGAATGAGACTAAATTATATCTCATCTAGATGAGTTCTAGCAAAACTGTTACATCATATCATTTTTGCGGTGTCAGAGCCAATGAGATCACACTCTACGTGACAAACGGTCATACGTGCAGTCAATTCGTTTATACTGCTAGTTTGTTTGATGACACATCTCTGGAACTGCACAACCTATCTTTGGACTTCTGATTCTTACAGGAGAAGATCCTTTTCGATAAAGGGCGAATTTTATTAGCTCAAAATAAAGCATCAAGAGAATACAAACACAATGAGCATACACCCGGCCTCTGCATAATTAAGATGCACACAGCCAACACCAACGCACACAAGCACACCAACAACTAGCAAAGTATATAATACCAAAGCTATGTGTCGGCGAGAAAAAAAGAAAAAGCCCCAAAGTGATCGGATCCGCGATTGACATAGTAATGATCATATCCGCACCAACCATCTCATGACACACACATGAACAAC